GTTCCCGCTTTTCCACCTCCTACAGTTAAACAGACTCTGTCTATTCCCAGCTGTCGCCGTTTCCAGTAGGGCTGGGCGGCTAGGTTCCCGATTATTGAAAGCTAGGAGGAATCGTAGGAATCGACCCCGAACCCAATTGCTTACTTTCTAATAAAGTGATTTCTTCCGGGGGTTATCTGGTTGGCTCCGAACATCTCCAGGATTCAGGATAGCCTTGATTTCGGAACACTACGAAGCATCAACTTTTATTTTTCCAAAACAATTTCTTTTCTTTTTTTTTAATTAAAGAAGATGATTTTTATGACTGAATGGGCTGGTGTCCGTTAGTTTACGTAAAAAGGAGTCGGAACTTTTCTTCCGTAGCATTAATCGTGGCGATCGATTCCGGAATCGAGTCTTCGCCCAGCTGTCGCCGTTTCCAGCCCAGTGCCACATTAACTGCAGCCAATCCACACACAGTACGCTACCTCGGAGGTACAAAGTCCTATCTGCTTAATACCTAGTTTTGAGAAATTTGACGTCAAAGTTTTTGAGTTTCAAAACATGTCAAGCTTTAGTAGTAGTAGCAATATAGGGTTTTACGGTGCTCGCAACTGCTAAGGTCATATGAGCGCGCCGTCTTTGAATATCTTGATAATGACTCCGAATGTTCTTACGATTTTTATGGAGCAGATAAAGCATTTGCTTTCTGACCTCCCGGTCTTAGTAACTCAAAACGGCCAAAACTGTCAGATAGAACTTTGTATTTTTCAGGTAGCGATTAGGCTATGAATGAAAGAATACCTTGTAACAAAACGACGCACTCCATAGTGATGGTGGCATGGCTGACGCCATCCAAATCCAAAAAGTGATGACGTCACAGTTTGCTCGCCCACTTCGCTTTTCGTAAGAGTTTTACGGGCACTTGCAACACAATAAGGTCATATAAGTGCCGAAGATTAGAGGTGTTACAAGAGAGTAACAAACACAAAAATGAAGGAGGGGGAGATAAAGACGATAGACGTTTGATAGGAAAGAAGAAGCAAACCACACCAGAGCACCCGCCAACCACCAACTAAAAAATGTCAGATAGAACCTTTTATTTCTCAGGTAGCGATTAGCCTATGAATGAATGAATTCCTCGCAATAAAACGACGCACTGTACAGTGATGATGGCTTGACCGACGTCATCGGAATCCAAAAAGCGACGACGTCACAGTTTGCTCGCCCACTCTGCTCTGGCTCGGGACACATCAAGGCTATTTTATTGTTATTGTTATTATTATTATTATTGTTATTACTCTTAGCATTTTATTCTCATCATTCTAGGCCAAATCAAAAACACCGCCCGTGAACAACAACAACAAGTATTTCCAGAGCAAGCATCACGTAAAGACATTACGCAACAGAACACCTGAGACCTGCTCCGCGTATAAAATGTCATTGCTGGCATATTATACAACAAACATATTATATTATTGTCTCCTTTTTTTTTCTTTTAGTACAGGTTTTACGGCGCTCGCAACTGCATAAGGTCATATGAGCGCTAGAAGATTAGAGGTGTTACAAGAGAGTAACAAACACAAAAAAAAGAAGAAGGGGAGATAAGGACGACAGATATTTGATAGGAAAGAAGAAGCAAACCACACCAGAGCACCCGTGAAACCACCCACATTATTGTCTCCATCAC